TCCAAAATATTGATTTATTAGAAATGATCCAGACTGTTACAACATTTCCGTTATCTGTTGCAACTTGCGTCATCTTTTAAATATATAAAAACTACACTATGTGCGTGTTCACATGCAGCAAGGCTCGGCCAACCATTCAGTGTGCTGCTTTTTCTGTTGTGGAGGGCGGAGCTGGGATTCATTTAGTGAAGGGGCTGGAATAACCAGCAATGAGTGTTAGCGTCTGTGGCGTTGCTAATACACCCATCAGACGCTCCGTCATGCACAGGGACGGCTGTCAAATTAGTTTGATCATCATCATTGGCACACAGAGCAAAATCAATTGGAAATATAAACTAGAAAAACAGCCTGGGAAACCCTTAATGACAGACCCTAAATTATATGTAAGACAAAAGAAAAACATATATATTATATATATATTTTTAATAACTTAAGTTTAGGTTCATGTGTCCTATGAGAAATGCTTTTATTATAAATTATCCCAAATAATATTTAATTCTATATTTATAAAATGTATATAATATTATCAATATTTATATATAAAAATATATTTATAGTTACACATTCAATTCTAAAACTTAATTTAAATTTTATTAGATACTAACACTGCATCATAGTGGCCCGAAAGCCAGTCCTCGGGTGGAGGGGGGGACTGTGATAAGATAGGGTGCTGCGGATGAAACAGACATCTTAGAGCCATTATGAGAGATGTTTGTATCTGAATAAGCTAAGATGAATAGGATCTGAACTGATATCCTGACAAAGCAGGTATACAGAGGGTTATTTGTCTTTGGTTTAAATAAGATTTAAATCTAGGAGGGCAAATGGAAACACACAAACATGGCAGCTGGATAACCCACACACCACAAATTGAAAGCAAAATTGAGTCCAAGTGTGTGTGTGTGTGTGTGTGTGTGTGTGTCTAACAGCAAACATCTGAAAAGCAAACATAACAAACACGTTATAAAAGCTATATAGACGTAACAGGACTTCAAATAGTAAACAAACTCAAATGAGCAAAATGCATGTCAGTCAACTAAAAAAATGAAGGAAAGGAAATGAAAGCCCCTGATCAGAGAGGCAACATGTTTTAAACAACGTCACGACTCTCTAAACAACGATGACGGAAACATCCCAGTGACAGAGCTAGATTCCCATAACACACACTGACATATACAACATGCACACACACACAAATAAACACTGCACACACACCCCCTGCAGCGCTCGATGGTGTTATTTGGATTGTAAGGAACTCACACAGACCATATTTTAAAAAACGAGGACATTCTGTGTTGTTCTCAGAGAAATGTCTAACACGTTTCTAAAGCATCTTGCATCTGGAATAACAACATCAGAAAATATTTCGCTGGAGCAAAAGCCTGATGACTACACAGAATCGTCCACACAGACGTTGATGTCAGGTTGTTAAGAGAAATGATCAGTCAGACATCAGAGCAGATGTGCAAATATACGTCAATTCAAACACTGAAACACTCACTCGCTGCTCTATTAGAAAAGAGCTACGTCTGTTGGCCAAAAAACTTTTCCAGCCATTTGCAAATACTGGATAAGAATTCCTTACTAATCATTTATGAATTTATTAAGAATCATTTTGCACTCTCAATTTCTAGAAAATATTTTACAGCTGATCTCACTTCAAAAATGCTAAATATTAAAAAAAAAAAAATTTTTTTATTTTTGCACTTTGTGAGTACAAACTCTACAAAATGATTCTTATTTTTGATTATTTTTTATATAATTAATTATCAATAATCTAATATATATAATTTGTAATATACATGTAATTTTAACATTATTAAACTCTCAGTAAACAGGTAAAATATATAAATGTTAAAAATCCTTCAAAATTTGATAAAAGTATTTAAAAAAAATAGTTAATTATTTTTAATTATATTTTAAATGATGTCATTTATTATATCAACTCCCCGATATTTCAAGGGATTCTAATACCACAGGAACATATGTATGTTAAAAAAAGGGTTTCTTTGCATGAACATGTCTTACGGTCTCTAACTTATCTAGATGACCACGTACACTGAGGTTTGCTGGAAATGGGCATCGGCGGGTGAGCGACTGCAGGGCGGTGCAGGTCGATGGTGAGAGCGGCTGGAACGGCAGGAGATAAGAACAAATGAAAAGACACCCAGAGGCTCAGTATCACTTACTTATTACTGATAGCGGTGTTAGCCTCTCTGCACCAGAGGCGCAAGCTAAGAAAACATGCTTTAACACTTTACAGCGTTTAGATTGTGTTAAAAAACAATCCCCCAGCATGCACACAAAGACAATATGGGTGTCACGAGTGCTACCATGCACATATTCTTTTGTGCACATACCATGGTTATACCCTGGAGTACCATGTAAATACCGTGTATATGAACCATTGTACTTATGAGCAGAGATCAGAGCACTGTTTTACATGTAAAATTAGTTTAGGATATGAGGAACGTAATATAGAGAGATGAAAAACAAAGAGAGGAAAGAGATATCCAGTGGAGTGAATAAGTAAGAGAAGGATGGGAGAACATGAGAGAGAAGAGGAAAGAAAAACAATGACCTTTTCCAGATGATATCTGTACTAATCCTGTGTTTGAGTCCCTGCTGAGGTCTCTGAATCTGGGGGTCTGGGGGAAGCTGATAAACACAGGGTGAAACTCACAGCGGCCAGTGTGCATCTGCATCTCCGTGCACAATTCTGTATTTCAAATAAACATGCCTGCATGTGTGCACATTCATATGAGTGTCTACGCAAACGCACACTTAAGCATGCATGCAGTCGTCCGAACACCGCTTGTCCTTGCTGATGGGATTGGTTAATGTAACATATGTTACATATGTAGAGTCATCAAGCATATAAACATGCTGTGTCAGTGCTGGTGCATGCCTGTTATAGTCACTCACTCTCTCTCTCTCACACACACACACACACGCACACACGCACACACGCAGGCTGGTTTATTGTGTTTCTTAATTAAGTAGAGTCTACAGCCACACACAAAGAAATATATTCTAGTTTCAGTGCAGCTGTTCATTTCAGATGTATTATTTTACTTCTAAAAATCAGATAGAGTGAATAAATAAACAGTAAATATAATAATAATAATAATAATAATAATAACTTCTATGTTATTATACATACTGTACACTATCCTTCAAACGTTTTTTTTTTTTAATAGAAATTAATACTTTTATTCAGCACAGACACATTAACTTGATCAAAGGGCACAGCAAAGACATTTATATTACAAAAGACTTCGATTTTCAAATGCTGTTCTTTCTATTCATCAAAGAATCCTGAAAAAGGTATCAATATTTCCCAAATATATTAAGCAACACAACTAATTTCATCATTGTTAATAATCAGAAATGTTTTTGAGCACCAAATAAGCATATTGTGATTATTTCTGAAGGATCATGTGACACTGAAGACTATAATGTATGTTGGAATAATTTAGGAATAATTTACATTTTAATTTTTTAAAACAGAAATCAGTTAATATAAATTGTAATAATATTTCACAATATTACAGGTTTTACTTATTTTGATCAAATAAATAGAGCAATAGTATCAACAATCACTAGGGTTATTCGGTTTTACCAAAATCTGATATCATGGTTCGAGTAATTTTCTTATATTAAAATAAGTAACTAGTATACTCCATATAACAATCAGCATCACAAAAATAAGCATCACAAATATAGTTATTTTTGTTACAAATTCAACTCAAAATCATTTTATATTGCCATGCATTTCAGGCTTTTTGGACATTCATTTCAAGTGAATTAAATACTTTACAAATGAACAGTGCTTCATCTCTTTTGATTATTTTCTTCGTCATTAGCAGCTTGTTCAGACACAAACAAAAAGATAAGATTACTCATAACAAATGAATGAGGAGTCTGGCATCAGTGCACAAACAGATCCATGTTATGCAACAACCACATTAAAAACAAAAGACTCATAGATTAATAGGTAATAGATTACAAATCGCATTGGATGGACCTTTATAAAATAGCCGATATACAAACACCTGTGAGTGGACATCAGTCGAATTCTACTTTAATTAAAGTTGTGACATCGCTTGGAAATGTAAACAACCTACTCTTTCTACACCGGATGTGAGCTTGGTGCTGGATTTAATAGGGGATGAGAGACTAAATAAAAAGACTAGAATGGAGCAATTTAAGTTGACATTTTCTGACTGCTGTCATTGACTGCTTGGTGAAGTCGCAGTTAGCAGGTAGAAAAGGAAAAGGTTTTTGCAAAATATGAATTTGTTTAAATCAATAGCAATTAGATTGTGTTTGTCCTTCCTCCAAAAGGAAGACAAACAGACATTTATAATAGAGGGAAATAGACTACAGATTTATTATGGACACAAGCCACTTCATAAAGCTGCCCATTTTGGTGGACAAGCGACAAAGAAATAAGCTGAAATGTGCCTAACCCTACAAACTAAAGCACTACCAATATTACATTTTTGTACTGAGTCTAAATAACCCCTCATAGACTCCTCATCAACTCCCACCAAAATGAATAACCTCACATATTACTGTGCCATTTCTAATAATGACCAACACATACTTCCTAAACATTCTGCCATGTTCACAGAATGTCATGTAGCATCCCCAAACAGCCCCAGGAGGAGTGAAAACATATTTTCCCCAAGTCATTTCAACCTGTACAGCTGTGCTGCACATCATTATCTCCTGTTTCTTACATTTGATTTGCCAACACTAAAATAATAGCAAAGAACTACAGTTTAATTACAGCTGGATATTTACTGTTTCATCTATCCATCCTTGACTTTTGACCTGTGCTATAGACAACAGTGTGCATGCATGTCTGCTTGTGCATGTGTATTTATTAATGCATTTCAAACATGCGTGTTTGTGCATGTGCGCAGCGCAGTAAACCTATAGTGCAGCGCCCTCAGGCAGAGAGAAACACATGCAGCAGGACATGTAAGGTGTACCTCTTTGATGGAGCTGCGAGTTTTTTCCCGCCATTCGTCAGAGCTGAGCTCTAAGGTGCAGTGAACATATGTCTCCCTTTCATATGAGCCCAGGATAAACAACCTGTAGAGAGAACACAGAAAAAGAAAAAATAGTGAAGTAATTTTCATTATTTTAAAAGTACCGGTATATTTCAGTACATTATATACTATAACTGAATTATATACAATATTACATTATATACATTATATACAATAACTGAATTGGACAAACAAAATGAAAAGGAAATAGTGTTTTAATACTGTGATCAAAAGAAATGACTAGGGCAAATTTAGCTCTGAAACCTAATCAACAGACATTCAGTTCAAATGACCGTTTATAAGCTACTACTACCATCTGCTGGCTAAACATTTTCATTACAAGCACTAAAAGAAAAGAAGCATTATGGCTATAAAAAATACATTCACACTGACTACCATTCGAAAGTTTGGGATCTGTTAGATTTAAAAAAAATTAATTAATACTTTTATACTTTTAAAAGTGACAGTAAAGACATTTGTTACAAAAGATTTCTATTTCAAATAAATGCAGTTCCGTTAAATTTTTTCATTCATCAAAACTTTGAAAATTTGTATTATATAATATCATATTAAATTAATAATATATACAATTATTTTAAATTGCAATAATATTTCACAATATTACCGTTTTATTGTATTGTTGATCAAATAAATGCAGCCTTGGTGAGCATAAGAGACTCACCAACCACATACTTTTGAATGGTAGTGTAAATGTATTACAAAATAGAAAAATATAATACTTAAGAATAGACGTAAAGATTATTAGAGCCTTTTTATGTACATAAAAGGTAAGAAGGTAAAGCCTGACCAGACTGTATTATTTGCTTTCTGTGTTTTGATTAAAAACGTGACACTTTCTCCATTAATAAATACATTTTTTTTTTTTTTTCACATTTGTAACTAAGGCAGTGATGCCAATCCTGCTGCTGGAGGGCCTCCTTCCTGCAAAGTTGAGCTCCAACTTTAACTAAACAATCCTCAACAAGCAAAACACAACTGGCCCATCAGAAGCATGACTGGTCCACTGTTGCCCTCTGGTGGTGGAAAAGCCACAGCACAGTTGAGACATAAACTGACCTGTGCAAACACACACAGGACGGCTAGGGGTAGGGTTGGTGTAGGGCAATAGAATATACGGTCTGTACAGTAGAAAAACCATTACGCCTATGGGATGTCCCCACTTTTCACAAAAACAAACCTGTGTGTGTGTGTGTGTGTGTGTACGCACACATCAGTGTTGAGTTGGGTTTGTAATTGTCAAAGGCTCTGCATTATTAATAGAAAGCCCATTACAAACACAATTGAAGTCTGTTACTAATCTGACAAAAACACAAAGACACCCAATAGTGAGAAGAATACAGCTTTTGTTGCATTGTGTGTGTGTTCTCAAACACAACAGCTTGCAACCAGACCATTTTAAATGTTATTGGCTTAGAATGTTATGGCTGTGTATGAGTTTTGTGTCCCAGAAGAATAAGAAAACAGAAACAGCAGTGTACTAACCTGAATAGACACATATAATTTCAGACTCTTTATATGAATGTTTTTGTAAGTTTTATATGTGCTACTACTTTGAACAACGTATATAAGTAAAGAGAATTAAAGAAAACAAAGGCAGGTGTAAATAAATGCACTTATCTATTGAATAGAGGCTAGCAGTACAAAATTAATTTAATATGCCTGATCTGGGATGACACTGAAAACTGCACAAGAGACACATGACACGCTGTGCTTATTCAGCTGTGCATGACAATTTCCCATATTTTTACTTTTAGATTACAATTGCCTTCATTTAATGCTCACTTAAAGTGAGCACTCCAATTCTTAAACAGTTTAACAATTAAATAACACTGCTAATATATTTAAATTTTTACCAAATCTCAAAATGAATATGAATTTTTCATACTGTACATTACAATGTTGTGATGCCTAAATTCATAATCAATAAAATAACTGGTTTTATTTTTTAGGGTTTTATTTTTAATATTATTTAGACAAAACAGCACAGAATTTTAATATCGGCCATAACATAAATAACCATCTGCTTACACTGGCCAGCATTTAAATGACAGTGCATTATTATTATTATTATTATTACTATGCCCTATTGGTACCTAATAAAGTGTACTTACTAACCTCCCATGTTTTATTTGCCCGAAAAGACAAAAAAGATTAAGTAAATATTGATTGTGTCACGCACAGCAACAGAAGTCTGCCCTACCTGCTACATTCAACAAGTGTGACACGTAGACGCCCCTCCACCAATAGTGTCTCTCGGATGGAGATGTCCAGGTCACATGATGACGCCAGCGGTGGCTGCACTTGGAAAGGAAAAAAGGGCTTGTACCTGTCGATCAAAAACAGACAAAATCATCAGACAACCAATAGTCCGCCAATAATAATGCTTGCTTTATACACATTAAGGACCAGATTTACTAAACAGGGCAATTTAGCATGACACACATTCAGATTATTTTCATAATGACCAACACAATCTACAAAGAGCACTGCAAATTACCAACTATCACAGCCATGTCAAATGGAAAATAGCTTTTTTGGGCAATAAATAATGGCATATAAATTATTGTAAATTGACAATCGCAAACTGTAGAAAATCAAGTTGCATGATTAATTTATATACCCTCCTCCCTTAAATGTCTGAAAGAGAAACTCCTACAAATGCATATGCAATAAGGTCAGATGCAAAAACTGTCCATGCCCTTTTCATTGCTAATTTTTCACTGTGACTTTAGCAAATTCTGACCGTATTTTAAGCCCAAAAGAGGGGCTGCACTGGCGCAAGCTGTTAGTAATTCTGGCCCTAAGTTCATTATTGCAAAACAGTAAGTCACGATTTGAATCGTGAGGTCAACAGGAAATGTTTGTCAAAGTCAATGGTCATTCTGGGTGTGTGTAACCCATTCACGCTACCCTTACTGGAAAAACAGTGTGTGTGTTTTGTCCTTCCACACAAAGACATGAGGGGCAGAAGAGCAGGTTCAGTTAAATCCCGCTGCAAGGATTTTAGGCCCTTTCAAATTATGCAAATCATCAAGACAGGTAGGTTTAAAGCTAAACTAAAGTGAAAACTACGATGTTAAATGTCTTAATATGATCTTAATCTTATGCCTTTGCTCAAGGTCTCACTAACACTGCTACTACTCATTACCCAGCAATTTCTATGCATTAAGTACACCTTGGCATCTCATGGTTTCTTTAAGCAGCAGAGGCACAGATCCTGTGTTTTGTTTTGTTTTATGTGAAAACTAGTAGTTTTCCTAACATATCTAGTATCCAACATAACATTAACTCAGCATGATAATCTGAGTATTATAAATTAAATCAATCAATCAAAAATTTAAAAGTTCATATAAAAATTTTAAAAGGTTAATAACCACGTCAGATAAAAAATCTTTAGGTCCTATTTTGTGCCCCCTTACATTATCAGTGTCAAAATATCCCTAATGAGTGACTTCACGTAATTCAGCTGTGAAACACCCAGACTCTGTTCCTCTTAAATCATCTGTGAAGTCACTTTTTTTCCCACGACAAAAAATGTCATGAAATGAAGAGAAACGGATCAGAAAGTCAACAAGGAAAAAACTCATCTGGAGCGTCCTTCTCTTAATTTACCTGCTCACTTAAGATGCTTTTAAAGAGTTTCCCACATATTTATTTGTGACCCTGGACCACAAAACCAGTCATAAGGGTCAACCAGGGTCACATTTAGACCAAGTATTGAACTAAATGTTTTAGAAAAGGGAGATTCTTCTTTCTTAAAGAGTTCTCTTAATTCTGGGTTCTGGAGTGTGACTGATCATCCTCTATTTGTGCCTAACTGTGTTGCAAGTATTACAAGTATTAAGAACTTTCAACACCAAGTAAGCATTTGTTTCAAAATGAAAAACTTGTCCACGTGAAAAAATGTCTATGTCATGTGTTCAATCATAACTGGCAGTCAAACCAGACTGAATATAAGGAACTTTAAAAACAGGGTGATTCCTCATGCAGAATGCAGCACTGATAAGAGCTTAGCAGCATTCCTCTGAGGAGAGTGGCCTGGTGCTATTTCAAGACTCTTTACTGCTAATAATAATCTGAGAGATTAGTGTTCCTAAACAGGAAGTGCCTTTCTCTCTCTCCATAGACAAAGCTCTCTGATTTGCCCTTGAGAGGTACAAAATATTATAAAACCCGTCAGTCTCAGAAATTGCTTCATTGGCCTTTTTCTGAAACTCCAGACAAATTGTTTTTCTGCCTTATCATCATACAAAGTGCCATGGAAACAGGCTAAGGAAGGGCCAGTTTTCAAAAGCAATCATTAGGTTTATGCATGACCCATAAAATCTTCACACTATCATTAATAGATCACAGAGGACATAAGGACTTTGTATGAATGTTTATATTTTGAGACAAAATACACAAACTGTACTGATATCTAAACATTTCAGATCTCTGAAAAACTTTAAGCATGCTGGGGGAAGTTGCCATGTCCCTGAAAAAAAAAAAAAAAAAAATCACATGCTTTCACAAAGGAGGTCAAAATGAAATGAAACACTCCTCTAAACCACACAAATAGACAAAAGGCAATTTTATTAAAATCTATGTAAACACTAATGAGGCTTTCAGAAGCAAAATCCTGAGATTAAGACATGATTTAGTGGAGTCACATGGACATAATGCTTTGTGAACAAAAAAGTCACAATCAAAAACAATTGCTCTAAATCAAAGCCTGAGATGTAATAGTGACCACTCTTATGAACTATACTACCTAAAGTGCAATTCTGTGACAACCTTGATCTTTCACGTTAAATAACTCTGTTAACCTAAAGACCCAGTTTACAACCATCTTTGATGATCCATTTACAAGTGGACAGCATTAAACATGTTTAAAACAGTGTTGGTTTTGGTAATTAAAACAAACTATTCAAACTTGTTTTTGATATAAAATAAAAATATTAAATGAAAAACGTAAGAAAATTAGAAATGTTGCCTTGAGACATTTCTAACTAAAAAAAAAACTAAAATTAAAACTGAAAATATAAAAATAAAAGGCTCATTCAAAATATGAATGAATGTCATATAAATAACACTAAAATAACAATGTTGTAAACAGGGTCCAAAATGTCTTGTGACTCAAATGGGCAGTTCAGTGATTCTACTTCCTTCCTGTTCAGACACCTCATGATGCAAAGCTCTAGGAACAAGATCCTGGTCTAGTAACACTCTCATTGTGCCCCTTCCTCCCTCTCCATTTTCCAGCTGCTTAATTGCAGGACATGACTTCAGTTTGTTCCAGAGCACACACAGGGCATGGAGCGCAGCCCTATCACTTACCACCAACACCGTTACAGCAACATAGCCAGTCTGCAGCATTAAAAATACAACACTCACTCACCTCACAGAAACATGTAATGCCTCAAGTCTGGACCTTGCAGTCTACACCAACTGTAAGCAGTTACATGCACACACATACACCAGTGTATATTAACAACAGTAATTATCTATTTCTACTTATTATGTCAATCGACTGTTCTAGTCAATGAATAAAGCAGTCTCTGTGTGGTTCCTGGTGTCGTTAGCTGAAGGAAATTCATCATGGGAAAATTACTCCATAAACCAACAACTCTTTAGTATAATAATGCACCCCAAAATAAAAATTCTGTCATCATTTATTCTCAAATCTCATCAACACTTCTGTAATTACTAGACATTTAACAATCAATGATGTTTTAGCACAACTGATGTCAAACTTGGGGTGGCATGTCTTGACACAGCTTATCCAATGTTATTTTAGTATTATTTATAAACTATTATAGTATTTATTGATATTATGAATCAATGTTTATTTTTATGTTTTCATTTTTTAATTTTAGTTTTAGTCATTTTTCATGAGTTTTCGTCATTCTTATCAGTTCTTTTTCATATTCAGCTTTAATTTACTTTTATTTCAGTTTTTAAGTAATTTTAGTACTTCAGCTTAAACATTTCAATTTTAGTCAGTTGCCAAGGCAACTTTTTTTCCCACACATAATTTTCCTCAAATATTTATATTTTATTTTACTTTATTTCAGCTTTATTCCAATTAACAAAAACATTTTTAACAGTTTTAGTTAACAATAAGAGATTTTCAGTGAATAACACCTCAAGCATAGTTGAACATAGTTGTATGGCCCACATTTATGATACTTTTCTTGTATGGTATCTATATCACTATTCTGGTCACTATATAATTTCATTGTATGGAAGAGAGCAGCTTGAACATTTTTTTTTTAAATATCTCCTTTTGTGTTGCACAGAAGAAAAAAAATCATACCGGCCTGGAATGAAATGACTGAGTAAATGATGAGAGAATGATGACATGACATAAATGTTTTTGGTAAACTATTCCTTTAAAACACTAACTCATTCTGAGGAAACTTTATGGCTCTCTTGCTATGGGAAAATTAGTAGGAAGATTGTTACCCTTGTCTTATCTTTACAATAGCATCCTGTGTACTTTTCACTATAGCATACAGAAGATATTCTTCATGGGGATGAACTTCACTGAACTGAATTGAAGAACGCTTAACCTGTATGGCAAAACGCTTCGCTGTTTAAAGTACTTTCAAGGGTTTCCAGCAGAAGTGTGAGAATACTTGCGGTAAGCAGCTCTAAGGGAAAAAGGCCAGCAAACGACTATCGACTGTGAAGGCCTTATCCTGATCACCATCTATCTTACTCTGTATTCTTGAGGTGTTAAGTGTAAGCAGTAAAAAATAAAAAACTTTTCCCATTTTAAGTCATTAATCAAATGGCACAATAATTGCATTAGATAACAGATTTCAGATTTCTGCCATATCTGCAAAATATTTCAGAAACCACAGGAAATTCCTTGGTTAACTACAAACATACACACGCGCGCATTTTAAGCAGACACACGCAAATATCCACACGCATACCTCAATTTATTCAGTTAGATTATATAAGCATATGACTGTCTTCAGTCATTTAACATAATTAACATAATGCATAATTATGATGCATAATACATTTTCAAAATGCAACTAATATATTTTTTGATAGACCATGAAACTAAATGTCAGCAAATTAGGTTTTATAGTTCTCATACATGCCTTAATCATCGGCTAACAGTCACTGGTAGAGTAAAAACAGTCTATAAGAGTTATACAATAAGAGATGCGTGCAATAAAAGTTGATGTAAGCCACACAAACACATCTGCCGTGTCTTTGACTGGAGATGTGCTGCTGACTGGATTAAAACCCACTCATATCACCAGCACCTCTCTAAATATCTCATATTCACCACAGCCAGGTCACTGAGGACAAACCAAATCAGCTTTGCTT